AACAAGGTAGCAGGGGTATTTCGGTCTTTTCATAGGCTACGTTGCTCCGATTGAGCTGAAATTTTACAAGAAACTATAAAATATCATTTTATACAACTTTCATTTTTTGTACAAGAGCTGATTCGGCCTCCATCATGGCCTAACAGGTCCAGGCAGAACAGGGTAAACATGAAACCCTAAACTGGAATTCATGCATTCAAGTGCTAATCTTCCACAAAACAACATCTAAAGCAACTAAAAACCACTAATAAGCAATTAATTGAAGTAAAGAGGATGTTCTTGGCAAAATACCTTAAAACCACAAGAAAGGTAGGAGCTTAATCTTTCCTCCTCCAAAACAACTCCAGCAACACCTTTAACCTTCCCTAATGATCACTTGTATGGTGTGGTTTGTGATTTGGTTGGTTGAAACTCAAGATTTGAGCAAATTTGGAAGCTAGAAATTGAAGAGCTCTTTCTTGTTTTCCTCCTCAAGAGGTTCGGCCAAGACACAAGAAAAATGAGAGAAAATTGAGTCAAAATTGATTTTAGGAAAGTTAAGAAGGTCTTGGTCAAATCCAACATCCAATGGGTTTGTGACACTTGGCACCTTGCTTGCTTAAACTTATCTCTTTGTCTCTCTAATACTAATCCATATAGGTAACTTCTAATTATCTCTTAACACCTTGTAAAATAATATCACTTAACCAAACTTCAACAAGTTGTCAAAAAAATATCGCATTTACCGCACTAGCGGGTCCCACGTCCATAATACACTTCAAACTCAACGTACACTAACTCATACTATGAAGATGATTTTAAAACTGTATTTACTTGTAAAAATGCATAGAAAATTCAATATTTCCAAGGAAAGTATTAAAGATAATCAAAGAAATAAAATAATGCTGAGAAAATGTGAAAATTTTTGGGTCCTCCCACAAGAACTCAGGAAATTCAAGAATTTATCCAAAATTCAAGAGTTTGCAAATGTTTTTTCCAAGAAGCAACAAAGTCAGCCATGAATTCACTAAAACTAGGAAAATAGCCACCAAAACTAATGACCAGGTTTGTTTGTTTGTTTTTTGATTCTAAAACGATTCCAAGACTCACAAAACAAGACAACAAGACACCATCAAGATCAAGAACCACGATGCAAACAAGAATGACAATTCAGGTAGCCAAGAAATCACGCAAAACAACAAGCAAAGAATACGGAAAACAAAGAAAAAAATAAGAACCCTAGCGACTCAATTTTTTTTGACACAAGAGTCTGAATTGGAAAACAAGAAAAATCTGATTCAAACACAAAAGAAAAAAAGGGATATAACCTAGTAGTTGTCAACTAACTCTGATACCAGATGATACGTACCCCGTCGAAGACGAAGCCCCAGACCTAGACGATTAATACCGATGGTTTAGCAGCGAAAAACTTGACCCTAATTAACTCTAGAAGTCACGAACAATATTGATATGATCTCAACCCGTAACTAATTGAATTAATGAACCAAAGTTGTAAGGTAGAGGAACGCCACAATCAAGGTGGATACTTGATTGATAAGTTCAATTGAATACTCCCAAGAACTCTCAAGTATTCAAGAAAGGTTCTCTTGGAGAGAGAAAGTGAATAAATTCACACAATTTCTGTAAAATTTTCATTAACTAAAAACATTGGAAAGGACTAGGCTATTTATGACCTTACAATGACTCAAACCCTAATGCTATTTGGACTTGGTAACCCTTAACTAAGAAGGCAGATTTCGTCCCTCAACAAGAGGACTAAGTTGGCCATTTTTAACACCTAATTTAACTAACTAAATGACTAACCAATCAACTAGAATCTTGGCCTTCATGAAGTCGAAGCAAAGCAAAATGCAGCTCAAGGTGCCGGCCTAGCGGCTTCCTCACTAGTGGATCTATGACCATCACCACTAACTCTAGGAGTAGGGCGAGGCTAAGGAGTGATACCTAAATAATCCTCCATTCGATGCATCCTAACATCATCTAGGCGAGCATCAATGCAATCAAGTCGCTAAATGACTTGAGTCAGATGGCAGCCTAGAATATCGAAGAGCCGCTGCCAATTGGAACGCTGCGAAGGTGGAGGAGGTGGCAGCGGTGGGGCAGAAGTAGACAGCCCGGTAGAAGTAGAAGGACCGGCTGAGGTAGAGGGACCGGCTTCACCATGCTCTGTGTGACCAGCTTGTCTTGATCGATCTCTCCCTGGGCGAGGTAAATTGTCCGTTGGAATGCCCATGCTAGTAAGAGTAGAAATACATAACTCGGCCATAGGTCTCACTAGAGCTCGTGGGATACCCTTCAAATTGACGCCTTCCCGTACGAAAATCAAGGATAGGGACGTGAAAACCCCAATCGATAGGAAGTCGTACTTCGTCGGACAGCCGTCCTTATGTTGCTAATTATGATATTCGACAGTGGAATACGAGTATAAGGTGAGAGACTCCCGGTTATCGAACATGTGATCCAAGAAGTATCGCTATGTTGAACCTCTTCTTGGGAATCACATTGTGAGCCATGACGTAAATAATGAGGTGGTGTCGGCAGTTGAATATTCACGCAAGGATGGCCTCTTTCCTTGGTGAACGAAATGGTTGGTATTGTAGACCAAACCTTGTCATGGCATGTGAAGGATCCCAATGCTTGTTGGGCGAAGTAAATCCCTTCTTCAAATCAATGATCGGGCCTTGATTATTACACTCCAAAATTCGAGCAATTGTGGCTCTAGCGATGGTCAACCTTCTCCCTCAAACAAAGGATCTAATCTCTTCACCACTATGGCCCTTTTTGTTGTCGATATTGGCATAGAACTCTCGAACCAAATCTGGGTATATGTGCTGAGAGAGTGTGAGAATAGGTGCCCAACCTAGTAGCTGAAAAGCCTCCGTAATTTAGTAGATGGCATCAATGTCCGGAGCTATGTGCATCTCGTATATAAACTCCATGTCCTCACTCTCCTCGAACCAATCTTGATTATCCTTAGAAGTGAATTGTTCAACATCATAGTTCGGAGGAGGTGGTCGCCTAGATGTGCCTCATCGCGATCTCCTTTGTTGAGGCACCAGAGATGGTGTCCTCTCAACTTCCTCTTCACTAGAAGATTCACGAATAATAGCTCGTGCTCTTCTTACCATGGTGCCTAAAATAGAAAAATCATTAACTCTTATACACCTTTCTAAAATTTATCGCACACTCACATTATACAAGAATTAAATCCTATAAAATGCCTAATAGAAGAATCCTTCCATTTATAGTAACCGTAGGCCTTTCATAAAATTATCATTCATGTATACGGATTAAAATTGGCACCGAAATCCACAAATACACAGCTCCATATTATAAATAATTAACTAAATAATCAATAATGCCTAGTATTATAATAAAAGAAACATGTCATTAAAATTGCCAAAAATTTCCAAATTCACTAATCGATTAAAATAGGCAACAAATATCTCCCAATTAATGAAATTAGCAATAATCAATTTTATAGCAATCATTAATTAGCAACAATAATCCACAATTAGCTACAAACGTGATTAAGCAAAAATTATCCCAAAAAAAATCACAAAATTCATCAAAATTACCCTCTATACACAATGCACATGCTAAAACATCATCAACTAATCATTTTGAATCATAATCATCCATTAAAAAGGGCTCTACAACAATCCAAGCTAATTTTCTTATTTTGTCCAAATATAGCAATTTATAAATTTAAACAACCAATAATCCATTAATTTGCTACATTTGAACATGTAAACAAACAACCTTAATAAGCATAATGGAGGCCACAAATATCGACAAATATCATCAAAAAACCGAAATTAAAAGATGTCAGAAAGCTCAGGAAATTGAAAAATATCAACTTCTAAAATACGAAAATTTGATGAAGAAATTTACCTCAATCACATAGAAGGATGTTTGGTGATGTAATGATGCAAAAAGTCCTATGAAATACCCTCTAATTGACCTCCAATTGATGAATTTTAGAGCCAAGAACCCTAGCCTTCAATATCCTTAAAATCGAATTTGAGATGTTTTTGTTGGATTTTAATCGATTAAAAAGGGTCTATGAAGGTTAAATGATGTTGGTTTGATGATTTCTTGCAAGGAAATGGAGTAAAAGAGTGAATTTGTTAAGTGTGTGTAGAAAACACAGGTGAAGAGAGGAAGAAGAAGAGAAAATATGCCCTGCGTTTTCTATGTGTAAAAGAAGAGGACCGAAAACGCAGGGAGAAAACGCGGGGAAGGCCGCGTTTTCTATTCAGTAATTGCAAAATCGAAAATGCGGGGATAGAAAACGCGAGCTGCGTTTTCCATTTTTGATCTAGGCTATAGACGCAAAGAAAAACGAGAGAGATGTCGCGTTTCATGCCGCATTTTCTAAGAAATGTTTGCTGATCATATAAAACGCGACCAGAAAACGCATGGAGAACCCGCGTTTTCATGGGTGTGTTTTGGATGTCTGCAAGTTCTCAAAATCGCGCTCATGACCCCAATTTTCCAAAACACATCTTAGATCATTCCTTTGTCTAAATAAACAATTCACGCATATGTAAAATGATCTAAACATGTATTCTAAACCTCTTTAATGCATCAAAAATCACAATTACTCAATTTGAGGTGTTGAGATTATTGATCAAATTTCGCCGTTTTCTCGTAATGTGGTCACCTTTGCTTCTATTTCCAAAACCTACAAATGAAAAACAACAAAACAACTTAAACACTTGATTTAACTCTAAAATCATACAAAATTAACATGAATAACAAAAACATTGGGTTGCCTCCCAACAAGCACTTTTGTTTATAGTCATTGGCTCGACTATTAAACCTCATTTCTCAAGGAGGCTTAGTTAATTAATAATCCACCATTTTAGGTCGTGGTCATTAAAAGGTGACTTAACAACTAGAGCCACGTATTCTAATGATATGAGAGGTGGAAGTAGCTTACCTAACTCAAGTGCGTCGTAGATATTATCTTGTATGTGTGTCACTTGAGTACTCACCAAAGGAACGTCCACATGACCTTCTTGGGCTATAATGACTTTGGAACCTACATTATTAACACAATCCTCAAGAGGAATTATATATGAATCATTTATGTTTGTCTATTGAGGTTCAAACTTCATTCCAAACTCATTCCACATTGAAGATAGCAAAAAATGTCGATTTCCAAAGAGTAGATTCCCCCCTCCCTTAGGAGTAGAAGTAGGTTAGGCTAGATTAGATATGCGGTTACGGAAAAAAAAATAATTTAATTAATAAAAGAGTTATGTACCAAGCATATACACGTACAGTGAACAATAAACAGCAAACAAAAATAATTTTGAAACTTTTGATGAAACGAGCTGCTAGGTCAAATAGTATTACATAAAAAATTGGGTAAGCCTTAATTTAAAAGCCATGTATCGAAAATCGAAACAGAATCATAAGAGGCGCCAGTATGTCTAAATATTATAGTTTGGGGGGCCCAAAGTACACATGTGTAATAAGTTAGGGTACAAGGTAAAATTTGACCTGCCAATTAACAAATTGCCTGATGCACGCGCATGATAACTCCGTTTGTCATCTTAATACTATTACCAATTGGACTAAAACGGGAAGGATACGATAGCTTAAGGTATGGTATACTCAAAATTGAATTCAACGTGCAAAGTGGAAATTGGTATAAGCTAGGGGTGTAATAAGAGATTAGTTCAAGCAGGATGCTTTCTAGCAAATTATTGTTGAGAAATTTAAGGCAACGAAAACAATGAAGTTAAATTCCTATATCTGGGCATGTCAGTATGTCGAGATTACTCAGACCTAATCTAAATCCATCGTGTTTTTCTTAAGTTTGGGTCTAAATTTTCAAAATTTTTAAATTAAAACTCTATCCAAATCTAGACCCTGTGAAATGAATTATTCATCTATATAGGGTCGAGTTTTATATAATTCGACCTATCCAAATCCTACTTAGACCACATGTATAATTCAAAAAAGGTGATGTTTGAAGACATGTAAATTTAAGTTACGTTTTAAATGCTTAATATATATTAAAATTTCAAATAAATAGAATTATTTGATAATCTTTCATCAGTTAATAGTTTTGCAAACAACATTTTCTAGTGTTGATTTTGTAATTTGAAAATGGTAATTGTATTATATTTCTTTTATATTTGTATTTTATATTTTTTTATTTTTCTGAATTTAATTTCTGAATTTTTAATTTTTGATTACCCATGGACATCTATTTGGTACCCTGGCTTCTCTTTTTTTTTTTTCCATACCCATGAAGATTTCGACCTAGATCTGGGCATTAATAAATTTAGTGAATCTGGGCTTGATCAAATTAATCCAATTCAAACCCAATCCATTCACATATCCACCTATATGGTGTTTTCAACGTTTTGCGAAGTGATTTTACTCTCCAGACGTAACGTGATCAATGAAATATGTGCCAGTATCTCTGATAGAAAGAAGTAATTGATGAAATGTGTGTCAATATCTTTGATAAAGTGCATCACTCTGCAGCAAGAAAGGATAACCAATTCCTCTCCTCCTAGAAGGAAACATTACGAAAAGGAAACTTACCACAAATCCTACCACAAGAGGCACAGAATTGGTAACCTTTCTTGGAACAACCAAATGATAACAATCCAATACATCAGAATGTGATGTTGCAAAAGTCAAAAACGCAATCAAAGAAAGTGATGCATGGAACATATCACTACATCTTAGCCTATAATCCGAAGGCACGCATGGCTTCGTTTTTCCACCATTAAAAGTCCATATCCCCTTGATCGTTGCAACGCCGTAATGCAGCCTCCCGGTGGCAGTACGAAAGCTGTCGGTGAATGAAAAGAATACACAGGAAGCAGCCAAGAAAGCCAAGAAGGAGCCCATCAACCATCTCTCAAGGGACTTGCACTTACCATCGTTGGTTACAAGGGGAGCAAAAATTGTGAATGCAAGAATGGTTGCTGTGGGTAACAGAACATTGAGGCGAGCTGTACCGCTTAAAATGGTATTGAGGATGTAGATAAAGTTGGAATCAGCCACATCTTCATCTACTATGGTTCTGAGGTTCTTAATCTCGTCTTCTTGATCGACATTTTCGATTAAATTTTGTTGGAGTGAGTTATTCATTGTGCCAAATTCGAGGGCGATAATTGGTATTATAACTCATGGAGTGGATTTTGGAGATGTCATATATGAAGATTTTTGAATGATTCCCGCGAGAGATGTAGGGGAAAAGCAATCCCGTTTCCTCTCTTTCTCATGCATGCAGTCGGGAATCCTTTTCTTTTGACGGAAGGTATATATTCTTTGGACCGATGGAGGGTTTCCATCCTGTTATTACCGTCTGAATTTTAAAAATTGCGAGGAGGTAATGTAGAAAAGTTCTATGCTAGAATTCGACCGGAGCATGATCAATTATTGGTTCAAATTGTTAAATTGTCATGATCGTATGTAGGAAAACTTAACCATTAAGAAACAACAACTTACGCACACAATCAACAGGATGAAAAATAAATGCATATTCCATTTTGATTTATGTGCATATCTTTATAATTCATTTTTTTTTATTTCAAAAGTGGAAGAAATATATAAGATTTTTATTAAGAAGAAATGTTTGCATGGAGAAAAATATTTACAATTGATTGTGCATTTTTTTATGTCATATCGTATACACAACTATTAAAAATTTCGCCAAAGCGTAGCAACAGCAACAGGCACAACCTAGGAAAAGCAATAGGAGGTCTCCCCCTTCCCCACCATTCCTTTTCCCAAGAACCCTTCAGCAATAGAATAGGACTATAAGCATGTAGAACAAATTTTTCTGACAAATTGTGCATCCTGTACACATAGTCAGGTGCCAAACCAACATAATGTTACCATAGTACAACTTATGTTTTCGCTAACTTAAAATGTTATCTCATAGTCAAAATACTCAGTTTTCTCAACCCTTTATTTTAAATTGCATGGAAGAGAATTTTAATCGGTCCAATTTTGAGAAGAATCCACTTGTTCATGAATAGTCCAATCTTGTAATCTAAAACTGTGATATCAATTGTTAGGGAGAAACGTTTCGTGAGAATTCACTAAAGAGTCTAATATGTAAGTCAGGAATCTATCACAGTTAAAAAACCTTAAACTATTAGGTTTCGAACTCTTACTTTTATATTAAGTGCTCTTTCTCCATCTTCCGAACTAATTTGGACATAATCTTTACTCATAAAACCTAACATTTGCGATAGGCATTAGGTTATGATTCAATGATCTCGATTCAACGGCTTTTGCTTAAGGAATCTCAAAGAAAGTGCTGCTTTAGGGGTGGGGGGACGAATGTAATTTGCTTCAAAGTTTATTCAAGATAAACAAAAGAGATAATTGCAGTTTTTGTTATTAATATTTGGCCTATATGATAAATTAATTCCTAATGTTTTTACCAAAACAAATATTTGGTTATCAAAGTTTCAAATTTTAGTCACATTTAGGACAAGACAGAAATTCAATAATGACTAACAGTCAAAATCAAATTACTATTAATCAACATATTTGACTTTATACTTCTAGTCCCCAATGTTTGAAGTTTTAATTAATATGTTCTCTTAGGTTTTTAATAGTTACGATTAGTGTGTTAAGATGAAATGAAATGTAAATTAATCAATTGTATAACACATGTACTCCTAAATCCATTCAAATTTTCATTAAAAAATACTTCATACAAGCACAACAACTTTTTTTAACCTAATGTGCATCTCTTTTTTGTGTAAGTTACAATTGGATAAAAATAAGTAATATATAAAATAAAAATTAGCAGAAGAAAAGGAGAAAACATTATACTTTTAATATATAACTTTATTAATTATTTCTAAGCAAATTCTTACATGACTAGTGAATGTAGACTTCAAATGGTTGTAGTTATTAATTATTGTGGTTATAAAAATTAGTGAATGCAATGTAAGTATATAAAGTGCTTTTAGGAATTTTTTGAAAACATAAAACTTCCTTATTTTTTGGTTGACTTTTCTACTTATTAAAATCAAACATCGCAATAGTAGAGTTTTAGATATTTATTTTGTTATTTATGTCCTTCATAATTTTATTGAATTCTACAAATTATCAACTTTATCTCAAACTCAATTGATAACCTATTGCAATAGAAAAATAGACAATCATTTAATTTACATTGAGCATATGCTCCTCATATTTTAAAGTGATATCTAAAGGTATAATTGTCAATACAAGTGAAAAAATGATAGGCCTCATTATTAATTAATTATAACTATTGCAAAATGATAAATACATATATTACTAAATTTGAGACCAGCTATGCAAAAGAGAAGAAACTTATGAGAAATTAGTTGGATGAATAAATGAAAAAAAGAAAAATAAGTTTAATTAGCTTTGCATGTTTTTAACACAATTTTGATCTAATTCACATTTGTTTTCATCCTAAAACCTAGAATAACATTATTTAAACATTAGGGACTTAAAATTTAAGGTCAACATCGTTGACTAATGGCAATTTGAATTTGAGAATTAATAATTGTTAAATTTCTGTGAAATATCCTAAGTGTGCATAAAATTTGAAAATTTAAGTATTCAATTTGTTTTAATTAAAATATTAGAGACTAGTTTTGCACTAGGCTAAACATTGGGAACTAAAACTGCAATTGTTCCCAAATCTATTGCCTATATATAAAAGGGGTAGTTGATGTTAGGAATACTTAGTATGTTTGGATGAGATGATTTGAGAAAAATAATTTACTTCATAAATTTTAATTACCTTTTTATCTTTTCAATCAACTTTTTATCTCACATACATCACATTACAAAAAGTGCTAAGGTAATTATCTCAAATAAATCATCCAAATAAACTCCTATCCAAACAAACTCACTGTCTTTTGTCCCCTGCAAACACCCTGAGTGGATGGACAATTTTGTAAATTTCATTGTATTTATGTTTGGTCGAGCTGAATTTCCATTGTGAGCATGTGGGATAGAGTATGATCCAGTTCATTTTATAACTATATTACCCTTACAAGTCTAATATAATCTTTTTGTTTTTTGTATTATATGTAGTGATTGGGATTGTATTTTAGTATTTTGGTATTTTGGAAATTGTATACCAATTTGGATCTTAGCCTTTACTCAGTTACGTGTTGTTCAACTCCTTATCCCACAATCGAGCGGTGCTTCTTTTAAGTTTCGCCTTGATATTGTAATCCTTCGTTTTCCCACGTACAAAATATTCTGGTGTCCTACGATTGGTCCCTACTCCCTATTGACACGTTTAGTAGGTGTCCGTTTTAGTCATCTCATACTTTTTGTTGGGACTGCCGGGCTTTGCTGGAGCTGAACCATGCTCACCACGTCCAATATTTTCAGAACCGGACCGGACTAGCCAGTTCAACTAGTTGGACGCGAACCGGACATGTCAACGGTCCGGTCTAGTGCTAAATCCGGAAGTTCATGGGAAACCGTTGAAAACTGGACGAACCATTTGAATCGTTAAAAACTGTTCGAACCATAAACTGACGGTTTTTTTAATTCCTCAACAAAATATCGATAATGGTGTAGCTCCGATTCAAACTTGAGCCTCTAAGTTTACATATGACAATCTTACCGCTAGACCATAGTTGAGTTTGTTGACAATTCAACTTGACTAAAAAATATATTAAAACATCAAGTACAGAAAAAGCAAAGTGTATCAATGCAGATGAACTTTTCTAAATTTTCTTTCCATCATTTTCTTTCTCGGTTTCATCAGGCGGCGCTCTCTAGTTCTTCTCTTGATTTTTTTTCAATTTTTTCTTCTTAACCATTTTAAACCCAAATATCCACAACAAGATTTCTCAAGTCTTCACCATTATTATCAGGTTATCATCTTTAGCAGATTATAAACAAGTTGGAAATTTCAACTTTTCTTGTTTTTCATCATTTTGGTAAGTTTAATATTTCTCTTTTCAAGCTTTTTTTCTATATTGTTATCTTTAGTTGATTTTTTTGCATTTTCTTCTTCCCCCCAATTTTCATCTGTTTCCCTAATTTTTGTTTTATTTTTATTTGATTAATTAAGGATGAAATTTTTGCAAAAGTAGCGCACCTTCGTGTAGGAATTGGGTAGGACTTACGAATAATAATATTAGGCTGGTAAAAAATATGGTAGTTGGAACATAATCGAAGCTATTGATCATTGAATTTAAAATAATTAATTGTATAGGATCATTGAATTTAATATAACATGTTAATTAGTGATGTTTAGTAGCAATTAATTTTTAATGTGTTTAGCTGTATATTTATTTTTCAAAATTTTTTAGTTTTTTTTAGTTTGAGGAATTAGATTTATATTTTTATAATAAAATTTTAACTTTACCATTTGAATAACAAACTTCCATTAGTGGCATGACAAGTAGCAACAACACCATCTTCACAATTTCATCAACTTAACTTGAAAAAGTTAAGTTGATGAAATTGTGAAGATGGTGTTGTTGCTACTTGTCATGCAACTAATGGAAGTTTGTTATTCAAATGGTTTGTCTTAAATTGAACTCTTTTATGGATTTTTTTAAGGATTGTAAAAGAATTTCAATATTTATTTTATTTATTTTTTGTGTTTTTATTTGTGATAATTCGTGATCATTTTGATTGTATCTATTTATTTATATTTATAATGAATTTATGAAAACTTGTGGTGAATTATGATATTTTAATTATGTTTATCATTCCATGTTTTATGTATAACTTTTAGGAAATTTATTATTATCTCAACTTAAATTTAGTTATGTTGGTGAATGCATTTTAGAAAACTTAAGTTATCAATAATCATATTAAATTGTACATTAGCTATCAAGTTCAAGTGTAGAATGAAACCTGTTTAGTAAAAAAAAAATGAACTTGTGAACCGGCCAATCGGACCGGTCGAACTGCGAACTAGCCATCTCTCCGGTTCGCTGACCAGTCCGAGTTTAAAAATATTGACCACGTCAGTAAATTATGTGGTGCATAAATTCTCATATGCTTTTGCCACATCGATTTTCCGGTCCAACGTTCTTTCTTAAATGTTACAATCTGAACTGTCTTTTCCATACGACAACATAAGGGAAAAAAAATGTGGGTGCAACCCAAACGTATAACGGTAAGAGATCACTGACCGCTGTCT